GCTTGTTCTTTCCAGGAGATGAAATCGAGCACTTGATACAAATGTTTGCCACAATCAATACTTATCTTACACTCCCATCCCACGACACGTGGTGGTCTTGTCCTTTTTTTATTTTGCGCTGCAATGTGGACTGGCTCTCCGACCAGCAGCCACGTCCCATCCTGATGACATAGCTGCTGTTCCTGCACTGATCACAGTACATAGGTGATGACGTCGGTGAGAGGAGTGGTGACAAGACCAGTTGGAGACCGGCAAGTTGGGCAGATTCAATGAACCGGTTGTCACAATCGGAATAGGCACAGAGGAAAATCGTGGTACCTTGGATTAAGGTATATATTACCTGTGTTATCCATCCCCTAGACAAAACAAACATTTAATCCTCCTTCAGTGTGGTGGAGAGAGAAGAGAAGGGACAGAGAGATCTTTTTAATATCTACTTTACTGGCCCCATTAGGCTCTAAAGTTTTTACCTACCACAATATTTGGAAATCTGTTTGGCCAGTTAAGCTGACCATATACCAGTAGAATTTCGTTCATTCTCAGAACGTTCATTTAACGTTCTAATAGCAGATAGTATGTAACAATTTTATGGGGCTTTATAGGTGCCTGTGACAAGAATACAAAAGTTGTTTAAAACCAATAAAGTTTATTAAATTACATTTAATAAAAACAAATAAGACAGAATAAAACCATTTTAGATATCCCTCAAAAGAAATGGGCATACCCGAACCCCTGTTGTTATTGGATTTCCTCCCAACGCCACTCCTACATCAATTTCACCATGCATAGAATATATCATGAATGAACAGGAGGTGATGTAGATCACTTCCCATTCATCGATAATTGAGGATATAGTATCCATACTATGTCCTCAATTATCAACAAACACTCAGCGATCACTGATGGCTGAGTGTTTGTACTCGCTCTCCATCCCGACACAGGAGGCTGAGCGAGGAGTGAAGGGAGGAGAGCTCAGCCTCCTGTGAGAGCTCAGCCGGTCTCCGCCCACACACCGCTCTGCCGGACTGTGATAGGAGACTGAGTGTGGGAGGAGAGACGACGGCCGCTCACAGCGCTCTCCTCCCACAGCGCTTGGCAGGCTGTCCCACTTTCTCTCCTCCCCGCTGTGACACAGAGCAGCGACCAGCGGGGAGGAAAGAAACCTGGGATGCGCCGATGTAGCGGCACAAAAATTGCACTTTCGGCATTTAGCCAAAAGTGCAATTTTCGGCCGATATACCGGTGCATCCCTTGTTCTTACAATAATATAATAAAAGTTATTGATAATACAGCTCAGGGACGTTGTGCCGATCTACCCAGAGGCGCTATCTTCATTATTCCTAACTTTCCAATAAGTGATGGGGTTAAATCGATGATCCATTTCAGCTGCAGTGATGAAGAAAGTCGAGGGAGCAGGATAGAAAATGTTTCACAAAGGGAATTATGACAGAATGTGGTTTTCCTTTGGGAAACTCAATTTTTTTCCCAAACTTAAATGTTAAGTCAAAATGAAAATCGAGCGAAATTTCGGACAACATTCGTGAAGTCTTTGATGGCATTATCGAATGGTCCGGAAAGATCTTTCACATCAACGTTCGCTTGGAAAGTGTTTGGCCAGCTTTAGTCATCAATGATGCTACATTTAGAGTTTTGTGCCCACACTCATTACTCAGCTAGTTTCCATAGTTCCTGCTGATTGGCTCTCCGTGCAGGTACTGTCACTCTCCGCTTGATTCTTGATATGCAGAGAATTATTATGTTAATGTAATATAAAGTTAAATATCAAGTAATTATACTAGCAGTTCTCCAAGCGTATGCATAAAAGATCATTTACATGGAACTAATGACTGTACTTTGGAGATTATTTTTTTAGATTTGCCTTGTGTTCTGCTTCAATATGCTTCACAGATACACTAGGAAAATAAAAACTGTTAACGAATTTCAATCAGCTTTGCCATCCATATGTGATAGGCATTTATGGCAGCATTGATAGGAGGCAAAATGGCACATTGCTCATATCCTGCAATAGGCCTTTTGTTAATGAAAACCCCAGCTGTAATTCACTGAATTCCATTCCAAATGTTTCCATGGGGCGCTCAGACTGTAATTTACATGTGAAGCAGACAGTCACATTTTATTTTGATAAACACATTTTTTAAGATGAATGATGATATGTCTGAACAGAATATATTATACTTTATTAAAGGACGCCTGTGCTGTTGAGGTGTTTTAGAGAATAAACCATTCCGTTCCTTCCTCGGCTGCGAAATCATTCCCAGCATCACAAATAGCTTTTGCTGACTCTTAAAGTGTATCAAAACTCAAAAACAGAAATTTAATTTATTGCAGCTTACTGATCCTTACATGTGGTTGCTACATTAGTTTTATTTTTTTAGGCTTTATTCCCTAATTTTTATGCCGCAAAGCATAATTTTGCTGCATTCTGGGATTTCTTTGGCATGATCCTATGGAGAAATGCTATCTCTTGGCCAGCAGACAAATGGCCTTAGATAGCTAGAGCAGTGTCATGTCTCCGTCCACTGTAATGTCAGGGCCGTCTCCGCCCCCTGTTCTGTGGGTGACGAGTTTTAGGTTGCACTGTGTATTAGTAGCGGTGTGCCCTGTCATGTCCTGTCTGGAATGTCTCATTGTAATTCCTCCTGGCTTCTGTGTGTAGTCAGACGATTGTTTATCATGTGTCTGAAGTGTCTCCTGCTCTGAGCTGCAGGTAGGGTGGAAGGAGGGGGAGGGAGAGAGTGACATAGAGTGCTTGTGAGGGCTTGTTAAAACCACTTCCAGTGCGTTCCAGCAGGATTAGCGGTGCTGTGCAGCCATTGACTTGAAGAATGCACCGCCACGCCCCCTACTGCCCCACCCCAGAACGCAAGTAGTCGGCCAGGATACGATCCAATGTATTTCAGCAGCTAAACCTGCACTGGAAGTGGTGTGAACAAGCCCTGAATGCTGCTCTATAATCTGCACTGATCCTCCGCATCTGCCCCCGCTGCCATCCTCCGCATCTGCCCCCGCTGCCATCCTCCGCATCTACAAGTGCAGTGCATAGGCAGCCATCTGAGGGTGAAAGCGAGGCACAGGGCAAAAATGCACCTTTTATCTGTGTAGGCAAAAATCCTTGCATCGGTCCTGTGACAGATGTGGCTGCTGTCCCCATGTCATTAACTTGAATGGATACTGTAGCTGCATCGAAAGGGGCACACCTGGAATTCCTGCCGCAAAAATCCATAGGTTCATGCCACAGGAATGCCAGAATGCAGCGTGTGAATGCAGCGTTATTGTTTTACTCCTGGGAGTGAATATTGTGGAGATATAAGTGCACTTTGGATTGTTGTTTTTTGTTTTTAGGAATAAAGGTTTATGGATTTTTAAACATGCAAAAATTACAGTAGGGGTGCAGTAGGTAGATCACAAAACACCGGGCGCCTTTCCTGGTGCAATAAAACCTTTTAATCAGTAAAATCGTGTAAAAAATACATGTTTTCGGGGACACACCTCAGCTATGAGGAAGGGGGTGTGTCCCCGAAAATGCATTTAGCTGTGTCAGTGTGATTCTGCTAACTTACGGATCCTTTGGATTGTTCTCTTTGCATTCTCTGATGCTTTTATTCTCGCTTTCCTTGTGAGTACATATATATATTTTTTACATGTTTTTTACTGATTAAAAGGTTTTATTGCAGCAGGAAAGGCACCCGGTGTTTTTTTTTCTTTATGTTTCATGCAGTGCATGTTATCCCTTGTCTGAAACGGGGCAGCCTCTTTTGGATTGCAAGAAGTATTGTCCTCTAATGAACAGGAGGGGATGTAGATCACTCCCATTCATTCATAATTGAGGATATAGTTAACATACCATATCAATTATTGCCACACACTCAGCGATCACTAATCGCTGAGTGTGTGTACCTTGCTTTTCTCTCTGACACGTTGTCACAGCGGTGTAGAGAGGAAAGCAGAGCCTCCTGTGCCAGCGCTGTCTCCGCCCCCACACAGCTCTGCCGGACTGTGATAGGCGGCTGAGCGGTGTGGGAGGAGAGACGCCGGCCGCTCACAGCGCTCTCGTCCTGCAGCGCTTGGCGGGCTGTCACTTTCTTTTCTCCCCGCAGGAACACAGAGTAGCGCCCAGCGGAGAGAAAAGAAACCAGGGATGCGCCGATGTATCGGCCGAAACATGGCTCTTTTTTCGGCCGATACGTTTCGGCGCCGATATATTGGTGCATCCCTACTCTGAACCTAAGGAGGGTTCTATTTGGCGCTGGTCTATGTGTGTTTTTTAGATCATCACATTACAGACCAAGTCTGTTCTAACAACACAAATCTACCCAGGTAGATATTAGGGATCTGAAGGCCTGAGTATCCATGAAAAGAACCCAGGGGCTCCATCACCTTTG